TTGCAATGGCAAAAAGTTAAAAACCCGAGACCAAAAGGTTTTTAACTGAGTTACTTACTTATATTATTACTATTTTATTGTAGTTAAAAAAAACTTTTAATAAAAAATAATTATACCCCAATGTACTACAATATTTAATAAAACATTGCTGTAAATAGAAAAAAATATGAATACGAAACGTACCATTCTTTATATACGGTACAATTTGTCGGTATTTCAGTTTTCTATTTACGAAATAACAGCGTATAAATGTGACGTCAGACCTCCGAATGGTAACACAAGTCTGGTATTCTGGGCGTTACATGGCGTTCCTGTAAATAGGCTAGGATTACCACTTACCATCATAGGGGCTGCCATCACGTAAAAGGAAAAATTTCAGTACAGCTATCTAGTTTTATATATGTATTTTTTTTATAATGCCGACTGGGCACAAGTGGAGAATACCTGGAGAAAACCTCATACATATGAGGTCAGGTCAGTTAGTCCACGTGGCAAATTCACCAGGAATTTTTTAAATAGTTATCATGGGGAATCGCTTGGAGGTTATTACTAGCAATGGGGGTTGTTAATTCACATTACTAATAATGTCCTTCCCCCAGATAATATCTATATTTCAATCACGTTCACATTTTGTCGTACAAGTCTGCCAGGAATATTATAAGATCACAAATAGGTCAAACAAATAACAAAAACGAAGTATTTTAATTTATATTTTATTAAACACATGAAAAATCGGATCATACATAGCTTAGTGACATAGTTGTAAACATCAATTTCATACTATAGAAGGTATATTATTAATAGTATAGAAGGTATATTATTAAAATACGTTTTAATGTTTAAATGTTATAATTGATATTCATCCGATTACACGATCGATTGCTAATAACTAGTAAAAGTACGATTATAGAAGTAAAACATTATTCCTAGGTCGTTATTAGTTTGATTAAAATTATTATATGCTAAATGACTCTAATGGACACTTATAAATGGGTGAATACATCAAGTTTATATATTATAGGTAATAAATTAAATAGCCATTATCGGTGCATGCAATTACGTGGCCCATTAACATGATTCAATTAAAGAGAACCGGGGGCATATACCGGTACACAAATTCATATTATTATATTCGCATATATTCGCTTACTAACGATACTCGACTAATCGAATTAATATTACGGCAAATGGTAATAGAATAATATAGTATAATTAGATACATTAAATGTAATTGTCGATTCAAATATACGTATTCCGACCAAATCAAACGGCGTTCCTTGTAGAAAACACCGAAAGATTCAGACGTCCATCGGTATTTATCATAGTGTCCATCGAATCGACTGTATTCTATATAATGCAGCTGAAGAATGCAATCGTTTCGTTGGGAATTCAAATCTGGAGAATTATCGCATCAATGTAGAGTATAAAACTGACTCGAAGCCAATTATATAAGTCCAATCAGAATGTACTCATTGTAATTTTATCACATTACAACGGTTTAACCGCTATATAAGTACCCGACACCAGGTGATATAAATAAAAACATAAATACAAATCATATTTATATAACAACACTTCATACACTTAAAATCTGATGACATGCAATGTTTATTCTCAATTCAGTCTAATAAAAATAAAGGAATTGGTTAAAAATTTGGACAGTAAATGAACATATAATTATAGAATTTAATCTTTTAAATACGGTGTCTGTCGAAACGTACGTGTAATATAGAGACGTAGTATAACAGGCGTTGATGACCTCGGATGTCAGCTGGCGTGGTTATTACAAGACTACTTCAGTATTACTAATATGCAGTTTAGCGCCCTAATGCGATCCGTTCAGCCTGCTCCTACTACGTCTACATATCTATTATAATAAATATCCGGTTATTGAGTCTATTTCTCACTGAGTTTTTCACTAACCACTCTTTACTTTTTAAATAGTTTGTTCCATTGCAAGACGTGTTTGGGTGGTGGTGGCGGTGGTTGCTGTTGAGATGTTGAGGGTTGAGGGGCATCATTCTTTTGCGCCTCTGATTGGAAGCCTGCGGGGAAATTAATACAATCATTACTGTATCCTATTTAAGTAAAAAAATACCTTTCCGACCATCTCTATTAATTTTTATTAATAATCAGTTATTAAATTCATAATGTCGTTGAACCCATATGTATATATATATATATATATATAATTATACATTAACAATGATATATTAATAATGACTAAGTAGATCCCATTACCCATTAAGAAAAAAGAAATTGAACTCAAAAATTTAGCGATAATCTGCTATTTGTCACAATTTCTTTAGTGAGATATTACAAACATTTTGATGCGCGCATATTTTGATCTATATAGATTTGATCACAAAAACTATTTTTAATGATAGGTCATAAAAAATTAACACAGCGCTATCTAGTCTCACGATAAGCAGAGCTTGTGTTATGGGTACTAGATAACTGATATAAATACTTACGATATATTGCTTTTATAAATACATACATAATATACATAAAAAACACCCAGACCAATATAATCATACTCATGAATACATAAATTTTTGCACTGTGCGAGGAATCGAACCCGCGAAAATTGGAAGCAAAGCGGTGTGCTATACCGCTAAAACACCGAGGCTGTTATATACATAAACAGCGCCTGTAGTCCTTTCATTTGTATAGAGACTAAATTGGCCCATGTACCTTTAAGTTTTACTGCCATATTGATTTTTAACTAATTATTTAATTATATGAAAATATATTAAAACAAAAACTTGACATTCATAAGCGGTTAAAAATTTACATTAATAAATTATTCTTCTTTTAATATATAGGTTTAATACATATAAGAGTACATACAACCATGATGTGCAGAGAATGATTGTTGGCGGTCCAAATATGAAATAAAAATTAAAAAAAAAATGTCGCAATAAAATACCTTATCTCATTCCTTAACGGTACATAAAACGAGCTTATTTGCAACTGAATTCCATATAGCTAAAAACAAGAATGTATTCATTATCACTAGGGCTCACCTTTCTCGACATAGCTTTTAAAAATGTGCTGATGCCGGACCGACTCCCAATTGGCGCGGCGCTACTCGCCTATCTCACGTTCCCCCCCTCCCGCACCGGTCTTGTCAACGATGCACGACCTCGCAACCGACTCGAACAGTCTGCCAAAGAAATTCATATTCGACTGAGCACAACAATGTACAAAGCGATAATAATGCACTCGGATACAGAATAGGAGAAAATATACGATGAGATTGCCATAAAGAAATAATAAATGTTAGCCTTTTTTCAGGCAATACAGCTAGTATGTTAAATTTCGCCGATTATTTAATTGAATACCCATTTTGTGTATATAATAATAAATTTATATTAAACAGAAACATGTGTATATATATATATAATTGCTAAAGAAACGATGACATTCACATGAGTATGAAACAATATTACAAATATCGACTAAGGAGGGTCTCAGAGTTTATGTACTTCTATTATACATATTTTGTGATGCATGTGTATAAGATTATTGTGTATTATTAATTTATTGTGATGAGTGGTAGAATCAATAAATTTCAGAAAGTGCTTAAATTAAGTAATTTCTATTAAATTTGAACCTACAATATTTAGAATACAAGTCAATTCATGAAATATTAGTAAGATCATGCTTTTTCATAGTCTTGAACGTATTCAATTTTTTATTTAACTTATTATACAAGGTAGAAGTTATGTTGTAATAATGCCTAGCTATTTCAATACAAGATTTCAAGTATGGTAAATTTATATTATTTGAGACATGGAGGCTCAGAATGTTTTGCACGAATAGTCGACGGACAGTTAAGAGCTGGCAAATTGAATACAATTCTTCAGTAGAAAACATAATTTATTTTTTACCAGTTATGTGCTCGTTCAAATTTCAACAATATAATTTTACTGCTCCTCCCCAGGACCGGATACAATAGATAATTCCTTAAAACTATATATATATATAGTAATAACATTCTCGCGTGGGACACATTTGCATCAATATGCAGTTTCCAGGTCATTGAAGTCAATTATCACTTACATACTTAAGAGTACTTAAGGGAAAAAATAATATTACATATTATGTGCCCTTGTGAATAATTATAATATTGTTGAGTGGCATGATTTATTGAAAATAAATTTAGTTTTTGACATGTAAGATCCAATTCATAATAGTATTAGGCATTTACCGAATGTAATTAAGTTTCCATCCGATTCTGCCCACTATATCATCATTAGGATAGGTAAGTTTTGCAATTTTGAATATTCATATTCCAAAGATCATCAATATAAATTAAAAGATAGGTAAAGAGAACAAAGGATCCTACCTTGTGAAAATATAGGTGTTATACTCGTCACTGCATTCGAAATAGTACAATATGAATACGAACGCTAATTTATGTTCATAATTTAAACATGACCTGAATCTACCAATACTATTATGTGATTTCATAAAGATATATAGATGTTTCATTAGTTCATCATGTCTATAGCCCAATTTATTATATTGTATTTTTTTAATTTGTTAATGGCTACCTAATATTGTGGGGTAACAGAGGCCCATGTACATGAAAAGCACTACAGACATCACGTTATCCTGTAATTTGTCGAATCACTCTGTCTATGGTTGAAAACTGCATAATCCGTCACGTAATTTATGTGTATATAACGTGAGAATGGCGGCGAGTTTGCTTTATACTATGAAAGATAAAATGCTGCTGTCAGCATCATCATTGTTGTGTGGTGATGTATGAAGTAATAAGTGTTATACTATTCTATTCTAATTTACTGCACCCTACAACAGAAACACATCTGAAATAAATAAAACTGAAGTACCCAGGCAGACTACAAGTCTTTGGTAAAAAAGATATTCATGTATTCATTTAATGAAACATAATAGACATTACTATTAATCCATTTATTTATTATAAGTTTTATTAATAATCAAATATATCAAAATTTATATAATGCGTATGAAATGATGAGCATTGTTAATAATCACTTATTCAATTAATAATAATATTAAGTTTCTCGTGAAAAAAAAGGTACAAAATGGAATTCAATTTTTACTGTCATATTAAAATGACGTTTCTTCTTTTACATTTTGATCTTTATTATCATTTCCTACTTAAAGACATAGATCAAGTTAAAATAACAAACAAATACAATCATTCAATTAACAGAATGACTTTTATGAAATAAGTAATGAGCAATGAAGCTATATAAAGTAGAAAAACGATACGTCAAGATATTACACTCAATACTAATCGACTCTGCTCTGATATTTACTATGAATATACAATAAAAAATTGCATCCAAACCTACAAAATATTTTTATTATCGCGATTATGACGATAATGGCTAAAGTAATATAATCATATAAAATAATAATATCTCTGGATAATTAACATATTTCATACGAATCAGCTTCATGTATTTTTTTTACATGGTAAAAAGATACATGCAGTATAAACTAATACCTAGAACTATACTCATTTTGACAATACTCTGTCAAATAACAGAATCAAAATCAAATATTATAATTTAAAGATATTGATGTTCACTCAAATAATCTATTAGTAGAACATACAAAATCTTCTTACGACAGTATTCTTAAAAGTGTATAGGTTAACACAGTTATCTGTCGTATAAATCCAGCGGCAGCGGGGCGAGAATACCTCCGTGTCTCATACTAAACTGTAGATAGCCATCTGAAGCTGCAATATCTAGAAAATACTACAGGTTATGAGGTTATGATTTTTACACTATAAATTATTTAATGGAATTCAATTATTTTGTTTAATCCCGCTACAATAAGCACGTGTGTGACCACAAAGATTCGGTGCTGTGGCCAGTCCACATTGCGCCGAATAGATATGACATGCCAAATGGTAGCGAAATTAAACAAAATAATATATTAGGTTTTTCCGAAAGTAATTTGGTTTTTTCCAGAAGAGATTTAAATTTATTGTAGTTCATAAAATTAATTGTAAATTTATGAACCCAACATTACTCTTAAGCCGCATAATCATTACATGTTTTGAGAGCTGATATATCAAGCGAAATGTATGAAAAAGTTCAATTAATTCGAGACTGTTAGTCTGTGGTTGGTATCCCTTTAAGTATGGAGAACAAAAAACCCTTTTAAGTAATATTTAACTTTTTTTTTCTACTTTACTATATAAAAAGTAAAACTGCTGTTCAAGTCAGAAAGAAATTAACCAATGTGTATGGAGATGTGTTGACAGTACGCCAGAACTGGTTTGCAAATTTCTATGTCGAAGACAGACCACCTTGTGCTGTTGATTCAAGCTGATACGTGCATAAGGGGATGCAAATCAGCGAAAAACAATACAGTGAGAGCGGTGACAGGTTTTTATCGAATTCAACTGTTTATTATCATAAACTTGAAACCTCTGGGTTATTCATTATACAAAAATTGTGTAACATTTTTCCAAAATTTATAAACTAGATGACTTTCCGACCAACCCAATAATTCCATTAAGTAATGAAATGCACTTCTGCTAACAATACCTATTTTTTATAAATTGCTATTGTTGTTCATTTATTACAAAGTAGCAGAGAGGATGGATTCACATTTCTATTAGAATCTTTTTATATCGTTGTATCTACAAAAAGCATTATATTAATAATGAGACAAATAAAAATAAATTATACTATTTATATTAATATAAATATAGTGTAATGAGAGAATTAAACTACTTGTTTTCGTTTTTTCATTAGAATACTAATAATAGTTCAGTTTTAACCAAATATTATTTCATACACAACACACCATGTGCATGTAAGAATATTTGGTTAAAGCTGTCCTGCTAATTGCAAGCACAATGAAAAAACATAGCCTTTTACTGCATTCTTGAAATAATTCTGCATACTGAAATTGGAGGACAAATTTATTGAGGATTTGGAGATGGCCATGAGGCTATTATATACCCATTGTCTTTAATTGCCGTATATATACAGCAACTATTTTTTTTTGACAAGGTGTACCTGCTTTCGCACCAGTTGTCTAATTTAATAGCTAATAATGTACCTAAGAATACTTAAAATTTATTTATTACAAACAGACATTTTCTTCTTGAGTCCTACTCTCTTGACCGAGTGGTAGTGGCTTTTATGATGGTATCTCTTCGTTGTCCTCCTTGATGACAGAGCTCTTCGTAATTTGCCTCTATCTGGTATGGTTCTTACTGTACAATGGACTGCTGTGTAGCTGTTTTTATAAGGTCAAACAGACATACAAAAATCTAATCTGAAACTGTCCCTGTAACGTGTAATCGTATCGTTGAAATAACCAAAATAAAACTCACTTCTTAATCTCCGGAGCGCAGTGTACAAATTCGTGGGACCAGAACTTGTAGACAGGGTTCTTGATCAATTCGATGAACGTGATGAGCAGGCCCCATGGGTGGGGTCTATTCACGATCAGTCTCTCCAGCAGCATCCTCGTGATTTGCTCTTGCACAGCTTCCGAGTTCGCCTCCGCGAATAGGTAAAGTAGACAGCAAGAGAAGTAGTGTGTGTGGCTGTTCGGATAGCGCAGCTGGTTGGCAATCGCGTTGAGGAATAAATATCTGAAATGGACATCTCTCTTCATTCTATAACTACCAATTATCTGTAATTTCGCATGTGCAGTATATAGTTAAGTAGAATTTAAAAAAAAATCCTACTACATAACCTTATGAAATAAAGCTATATTACAAATTTCAGGATAATACATACAACACCATCCAATCCCACCCAAGCCATGTATTTGTTACGGGTACTAGACAACTGATACAAATACTTATAATTACGTAAGTATATATTATTATATATAGAAAAGGGAGAAGGGGTTTGTTAGTAATGTGAACTAATAATCCCCTTGCTGGCAATACACCATGTCAATTTGGCCACCACGTGGTTCCCCCTGGAAGCCATCGTGATATCTTCTTGTCGAATTTGCCACGATGCGCTAACTGATCTGACCTAATAGACATCTTATCATCCTCCACTGGTGCTCCATCGTATACTCTTAGCGCAACAAAAAGCACCATTCCATTATCATCCACAAAAAACACCTAGATCCATGCACTCATACTCATAAAAACTAGAATATTATAAACAGTCTGTACTGTGCGAGGAATCGATCACCTAATTGAGGTATGCTAAACCGGTGGAATACCGAAACTGTCCATTGATTAGCTTATCAACCGCGACTTCCAATATTTTTTTTATTGTGAGATTAAAATGATTTTAGATCATGAAGAGTTAATAAACAGACAGATATCAGAAACCAAAGACGGATGGTTAGTAAAAATAAAAAAAAACTCAAAACCTGTGGAGCATGGCGGCTCCTATTTTGAAGCTTACACACAACACTTACCTTCCTTCATAATCAAAATCGACCGTGAAGTTCTGGAAGATGTCCATGTGAGCCGAGTGTGCTATGGTGGACATATTGGGCGTTTGTCCCTTGGATCGAATATAGGATATCGCCTGTGTACCAACATACAACACTACGGCGTTCATCAGCTGGCTATTGTAACGGCGGCCTGGTTCGTTTAACACCTAAATGTAAATATCATATTTAGTCATATTTTACTAGCTGTCGAAATAGGCTGGAATTTATAGCCTGCTTGATTCTGATATATAAGCTATATCTGTCAGCTATATCTGATATATAGTAGTTTTATTAAAATTAATTTAGTAGTTTTTGTGGGAAATATCATATATCTATCCATATGTCCAAAACTCACACGTTTATAATATGTATTAGGAAGAAATAACATAAAAATGTGCCCGTTGAGTTCCTTGTCAGTTGCCCTCATATTAAATTGCTATTCAAACTGGACGGTAGTGATTGTGATTATTTTTTAATTTTTCATGTTTTTTTATTAAATATGTGGCGGAAAATGACGTATTTGACTAAATCATTTTAAATTTGACTTTGTGTGCAATTATTTTTTTAATAAAATACAGCCCATGTCGCTTAATTTGAATGATTATTTGTATTAAGTATTTTTTTAATTAATCCAATACAAATACTAAATCAAAGCTATCCACTTTATATTAGTCCGTAGTGCTTGTATTTATATACTAAGATTACCACTTACTGACAGCGCTATACCAGTACATAATTTAATCAACTTAAAAATTTGCAATGGATAAATGGCACTACCTGCATGTTACCGCGCAGTTCCGATAGGAAAGTCACTGGCGCGCGCGCCTTGAGATACGCGTCGAGATCCTTCTTGAACTGCGACGATGGCAAGATAGTGGTGTAATTGATGACGGCACGCGGCGGCAGGTTGATCTCGGCCAGCAAGTCCACCTTTAGGTTGGGCGTGAAAGGATCAGGAAGGCGCATGTTCCTCGGGAACGCAGACAATATGAGGTTCCTCATCTGAATGCAATTGGGTGGTATTTCGTCACAGAAACCGTAGTGATAGTCGCACAAGAACTCTGGGAAGTCATGCAATAAGACAAGCAGCACTTTCAGAGTGCCTTTGTACAGCATCATGACGGGTGGCGCCAGTTCAGTGTTACGGAGGAACGGATCCAAGAATTTGAACAAGTCGATCAGCAGTGTCGAGTACATTCCCCATCCCTGCGAAATAATATAGAAATATGAATGATATCAAGGTACACTTAATAAAAAGTTGACTGTTTGAGTCCTCGGTTTTCCTACTTCAATTAAACCAGCTTGCTATGTTCCCATATTTCCTATTTCAAGCACACCAAAAAGAACTAGTTACCGCAGGCCACCTGCGTGTTTACAGAATTAACAATATATTGTTAATTCTGTAGACTAACAATAACGATTATTGTAATTCTATAGACTAACAATCCAAATTTCATGATGTTTCATGAAATTGTAATTCATTATCGTATTTAGTTACAGATGCAAGGGTTTGATCTCCGTACAACACAAACATTTACAATCAGGTAAGTACATCTGTTATATCTTTCTTTATTTTTAAATAGTCGACGTATACATTGAAATTCGTAGAGCTTTATTCATAAACTAACCTTTTGCTGCGGCGTGACTGCCAGCACGCGGTTGATAAAGGCGCGATGAGCCACAATCTCGAGCCAAGCGAAGCAGAAGCCAGATGCGTTGCTGGGCCGTATAATGCGTAGTGTGTGACAAAACGCAGTGAGTACCTGGGGTATTTCATACAATTGTGATACTTTCGTACAGCTTTTATTTTTCTATCGTAAATAATAGAATGTCCTGTCTATACAGGAATTCCTTTCTTCGCAGGGAATTACTGTGCACGCTATTAGGACTGCTCTGCTCTGATCTACATTTATTTATAATTGTAATTGGTTGTTGACAAAAGTAATCAAAAATAGTACGAAATTTTGTATAAAAATAATTTCTATTAATTTGACATAAAATCCAGTTTAACCCAAGGACATATACATAAAACTGAGACGTCACACTAGAACTTTCAATTCCACGAATAGAGAGTTAACTTACCTGGTAATTCATGGACTCTAAAACAGGTTCTGCCATGTTCATGTCGAGGAACAAGATGATTAGGAGCCTGTGATATGGCAGCTGCTGGAAGTTGACGCCCTGCTCCTCGTGGTCCAGCAGTATCCAGCCGGCGATGACACCGAGTATCTGTAACGTGTATATGTCTTATATCCAAATAATATATGTCACGCCTGGAAGTAAAAATAAATATTTTAAATATAGATATACATATAAATATTTATTTATTATTATTATAGCTTGTCGTTGGCAAATGCCGAAGACAAGTTTGGAAAACAGGAAGGCGGAGTTTAGGAATGGATTTATATATATAAATATATTTAAATTTTATTTTACACAAAATAGAACAAATATTTCACCAGGAGATAATACTAGACTAAATACTTATACTTTATAAAGAGTAGAGTTAGAAGTAGGATAGAATAAGGGCAGTGAAATTAATGGGTATGGAGTCGTAACACCTTACCAATGCATAAGAGGTGTTAGAGGCGTCACAGGGTACTCTATGACATCGTGATATTGGCTGTCGGCATGTTTGCCTTTGCCAGTCTGAAAATTTAACCTACCTTGTTCAAGAGGTTCAGTTTGGGGGTAGGGTTACCGCTCTCAGCTGTATTCTTGATAAGCAGCGACACAAGTTTAATAAATGAATCGCACATCGTGTAAAACTTCTCTTTCTTCGAGGGCACCTGTGGTGGGTTGACCCTTTCCTCGTTCAGTTGTTGGTATACGTTCTCGATGCACATCTGAGAGGCAATCTTGAAGAATCTAGTGACCATGTCGTCCGACTTCAATATGCCGTTCATATTCATACGATGAACGTACAGATTGAAATTCTGTGCGATCTCTATCTCAGTTAGTGGATTGAGCAGGTTTGTTCTCCATTCGCGGAGTAGGCTCTCTGTTTTCTCTTGTAGACCAGGTGGATCCTCGAATTCTCGTGATTGCTGGTTAAGAAAACTTAGGATTTAGTAATGTCATTTATATATATTCACGTCAACTGACTTATTCCGGTACACACAATTTATATTATCACGATTAAAAGCTATGATGAAAATCACTTACCGAAAATGGATAAAAGCTGTCAAGTTCATGTTAAATATAAAAAAGTATGAATACAATATGTTATGAAACAACAGTTATGATACAAAAATGAATAATAGTAAAGTAGTCTTGAGATTTTACCAGGAATCACAAATATTTTTGGAACACTTAAACGAAAGGTGCAACCTACTCTGTACTTTTACCTTTTGTACTACGACGGTGGCTAACACGCGAATGACTCAACTGATCCTAAGTGAAGTGTTTCTTGATACATTCCAAATGTGATGGTATGATTGAAAACTAATATTCAAACATGCTTATTTGAAATAAGGTGTATTCCAATTTAATATATTATATATTTCTGTTTATTTAAATTGTATATTTATGTATAATAAAATGTAAAGTTCCTGATAAAATTTTATTATTATTATTTTCAACTCTAACAAAGGAATTGTGTTTTTTAATAAATCCCTACTTCTACTTACACGAACTGCCATAATTCCAGAATGAATGTGTGCCGTCGGGCCAAGAGGTGACCTCTCGCCCAAATAGGCGCTAGGGTCCTGATTGACCCGCAGCATCTCGATCAGGGTTCCCAACCCCTCCGGAGGTTGTTGTCGCGAGTGAGTCATGATGCGCACCAGCATATCCGTTGTGTGGAACAAGTCCGCCTCGGTGACGAACATGTTGTTCCTATCGTCGACCAGGTAGAGCTGAACTAGTTGCATTGCAAACGCCACGGACATGTAGTTGCCCCCGTTGTCCATCATGTGGGCAATAGCAATGTCGTACTGCGATAAAGATGATTTGTTATTTAATGGTTCACCCACTAAGATACAGTAATACAATATATCATGCAATAACACATATACTAGTTGTTTTCTACCTGTTCTTACGTTTACAGCATGCTTTTTGTTACGAGATAACATTAAAACTACGACATTATTACCATTACACACATTCAAATTAACAATTGATGTATATAACTATAGAATCATAAATAATACTTCTCCTTCCAGAATTTAGGAATAAATTAGAAATTCAAGCTGCAGGTTGCTAGTGAGTACAGTCCAGTTTTATTAAAGAAACCGTACTCAATATGTTTGTCATGCTTTAAATCACAGCATAACCAATCATGAAAATTGGAACATACATAATTATTTATTTGAGAGATAAAGCCCAGTTTTCTTATCATTTATATGGCTAGAAGGATAAAGTGGTACAGATGCTATTATCAATCTTAGATATTAATCGTGTCTTCGGCTGCTCTTGTCTAAGGTAAGCATATGCCTGTATAGTGCCTATACAGACTATAAGCACTGTAGTCTTCGTGATACAATCTATTTTTTTATAATAAAAAAATACCATCTATTTTCATGCAAAATTACATTAAGATCCATTCCGCACTTTTGTTGTGAAAACCCAACAAACAGACAGAAAACCCAAGAAACAAACAAACAGACACTATTGTAAATCAGAAATTAATCTGAATGGCAGAACACAACTGACGTATACTAAGTTATTAATATAGTGAAATATACTTCGAATTATATTCATCATCATTAGATTTCTTAATAAAAGTGAGCAATATAGAACCCTTATCAAAATATCATCCAAATCTCAGATGAATCTTTGAAATTAATTATATCCTCCGAATTCTTTACTTTTACTACATACTAATAAAAGGTACTGTAAGAAGTTGAATACTTAATTACGAATCAACTATTGGAGTAGAACATACCTGGTGCAAGTTAACCAAATGATTTCTGATGAGGCAGTCGACAGCCTCAATGTTGTATCTGAGATCTTCCCTGCACTCTGTAAGGCAGCAGGTGATCTGCTTAGTTGTCCATGCATGTCCATAAACGCGGCCATCCTCCAACAGTTTCAGTACACGAATGTGGATATCGCGATAGCGTGTCATCATCTCCAAGTGGTCACCGGAGGCGCCGGGTTGGACCATGTGTCCATCGAGCAGACCTTCCACGGCCTATTATCAATAATTCATGCATTTTACAACCACATTAGTGTATACGCACATCGCCTGTTTGCGACTACATTGTGTTGTTAATTACATGTTATAAAAATACATTAAGTTTACATTACTATAATGCAATATAAATAGGATAATATAAACATCTAGCACAGTAGGTTTTTGTTGTTTATGTGGTCTAACCAATATTTTAAGGGGTTTCAGCTGGTAGCTCTACTACTGGTAGGTAGTAGGTACTCAATACCAATAGGAATTTCAATCATGAAGAATTTTATGTCGTGTCACAGGTATTTACATAAATCTTTCAACTTACTTATATTATAGGCAAATGATGTGGATATGCTTAAATGATCATATAAATACATCTAATTCTGTTCTTTAGCTGCTAAATATGTTTAATTAACTTTGTTATAAGATAAACACAATAAAATTAAAATAGTTATATATAGTTTGTTAAACAAATAGATTTCCCCAGAAAACATTACAATTGTGTGAACAGCGCGCCATTAACAATTACCCGTAACGCGAATTAGGTATAACAAGTCGCGTTTTTTTCCTCTTTTGTAATTACTCTGAAATACACATTTATAGATTCTGAGAAACTGAAAATAACTCGACAAACAGGTTAAATACAAAGACAAAGATTATTAGATTTAAGAAAAAACGGCTAATATAAATTAAATAATATTTACCTTCTGCAAAAGAGTGCAACCGGATACGATGTCACGGTTCCTCCTCGCAATGTAAAGACATTCTAACAGTGAGTGCATGTTTCCGGCTTGTACAGTGAGGGTCGCAACTCCGACGGAGTTCGCCAGGAACATGTCTGCAGCGGTGATCAGCGCTGTCATCTCATCCGCACCGTACACCTGAGTCGGGTTTATAACTTGGCTGAAAGTCAGCTGTGGCATCTGGTCCTGTGCTGATGGTCTAGGAATGAACATGCCAGCATCTCGAATAGGCATGAAGCCTGGAATATTGCATGCGAATTCTTCGTATACAGATATTTGCATTTCTGTGGGACCGCTAACACGTAGACGAACCCTTTCCGAGATTCTCTCTGTCTGATAGGACAGAACGACAGGGTCGTAATAGCGTCTGCCCTCCTGCCTTGCGATCTTTCTAATCTCATAGTCGTTCATCAATCTTTTGTCGAGTTCGGGTAAAGCCTTTTCCACGGCTGTTTTCTGAATAAAAGCGCACGCGAGTTCCATATTTTCAGTAGCTAGAACTGCTGCGGCGCTTTCGACGATTTCCTAAAATATATTTGTTGTTATTCATCCATTTTAAATGCATAATAAACATAAAAAAGATTTACAAGAAATGATAAGAGTATATTAAAAAAAAGATTTAGTTAGAAGTAGATTTGAGATTCATGGATGAAAGGATGTGCCTTTCAGCCATGAATCTCAAATGGAGGTATATTAGATTGGATAAGAAATATACCTGTTGTGGTGTCGAAGGCATTAACGCTGTTATGAATGAAGTCTTCAAGTTGGTGCTAATGGTGGTAATGATCTGTTCGCGACAAGTGATCATGGCCATACCAGCAGTCAAGTTTCTCATCATATGATGTGCGCATGTACGCATTCTTACTTCATCCGGGTCCAGAGCAAAATCTTTTCTGATTATCTGCTCGCATGTAGTCAATGCATACTTAATTGACCGGTCCACTACTGGGTGAATCCATTCCTGAATTGACCTCTCTATCGCGGGCTTGACAAACTGCTTTAAATGGGGGAAATTTTGGAATAGAATAATGTGCGGATTGAAAATTATCTTTTGACCAAAGGCAGAAGTTGATGTCACATTAACGTCTAGATAGCTAAATCTGGGCTCCGGTAAACCTATCATGCCCATCATATTGGGGTCGTTTGCGATAAGCGCCCCGGTGGGCGTCGCGGCTATTGCCAGGTCCTCTGGCATCAACATAGGTGGTTGTGTCATCATTTGTAATTGTGGTGGAACCAATACCGTCTGAGGCACCGGCATGACATTCGGCGCCTCTTTATTTGGTTTGGGCTGTGAAAGTTGGAACTCTATTAAGCGAAGTTTCTCAGGATCTTTCAAGTATAAAGTCGGTTTAAGGTCTGTAATGTCTAGTCCAAGGTTTTTGCAGAGGACTTCTATTTCAAACTTCAAGTTCAATTTCAAATCTTGCTCTGTATGAAGTTCTGCGAGAACGTTCATTAGCGACATTGTCCAAGGATTTGGTGGTCTGAACACGACGCTTTTAGCGCAAGACTCTAAGATTTTCGCGACAAATGGTACCACATACAGCAGTTCTTGTTGGCCTTTGTGATATGCTTCAAGTAATAATGCTTTGAGATCTAAATCAATATGTAAAATGGGTTGATTACGAGCTAAGGTCAGCATGCCAAGCCAGTGACCAAGATTTTTCAGTAGTGAACGGTCAGAAAAGTTTGCAATTCCTTTGTCCGAGCGTAAGAGAACTCTGATGTTACGATAAGTCTCTTTGGTGACCATTTTATTGATGTCACGAATTTTAAGAACATCAAGGAAATTGGAATATAGTACGTGGAAATTTAATTCGATAGACGCACGCTTCATGACCAGATATTGAGATAGCCATGGATAATATTCGTCAGTGATTATTTCCTTGAGCTCTTCACATTTTGTCTGGAGGTTCAATTGACTGAGGTTATTGAAAATGAAGGCCGTTTTATCTTGTACAGCCTCTGGGGGAGAATTAATTTTCTCCTCCCTGTCGGTTGCAGTAAGAAGCGTATCGATGTTGGTTGCGTTCGCAATGGAGGGTCGACTTCCCAAGCCTCCAATGCCACAGCTCGAGATTTTCGGTATGGCTGACATTGCCGAATGTGCGCATACAACAGCCCTATAATATTAATAAAAATTAATACGATCAACGGAACATTTTACCCAAAAATATCATATATGTTTAGCTAAATTCGGTTTTTTTTTTAATATATATTAGAGCTTTAAATTTTTATACATCTTGACTCATATATAAAAAATAAAAAAAGTTTACTTTTAAGATGCTTAAATGTGTATGTTTAACGTACCTGTAGGGCGCCGAAACAACAACAGGAACTTGATTCAGCATTGCTGAACCGGGCGGTAAAACGGGGCCTTGAGGTTTAGTGGGCGGTTCTTGACTCTGCAGACCATATTCAGTGTACTCGATCAGATGTGGAGGGAATTCACTAAAATGTGGAATAGCTCTTACATGCTCACAGTATTTGTGGTAATCTTTAAGACGCGATTTAAATCGATCTAGAGCAGCTATACCGAAGTAATACATTTTAGAGCCCTCCGGCTTCCGTAGCGCATCAAGCACGAATCGTAAAGCTAAACCCAACGATACGTAACTTGGAACAAGTCCTTTTTCGATGATACCGCCGAATAGTTGGGCGGTTATATGTAATTCCTTATCCGGATACTGAGGGAAAAACTTGTATTCTTCAAAAAGATTACGTAGCATACAGGAGAACACATCCTGTTCTCTTTTATTTGGAGAATCTTGAAATTTCTTCAACATATCCAATACCTCGTCTATAGATAAAGTAGGATGCGGTGGGTGATTGTATATTCTTTGAAAATAACCATTTGCTTCATCTTCTATTTCCTTGGTGACATTGTGCATCATTTCAGGAAAATGTATAGGTTCCGGAATACGTGGTTTTTCCATCGGTGGCATAGGAGCCATTCTAGCCAGAGCACCCATATTGGCAACATTTGCATTATGCGGGATTGGCATCATCGCAAAAGGACTATTAGGCGCTGCCCCCATCAATCGAGAAGGTGAGCCTGGTGCTGCAACTAACGGACCAAGAGTTCCAGGCATAGCAAAAGCAGTATTTGCCGGAGCTCCCAAAGTCATGTTAGCTACATTTGTCGTCAAACTAGCAATAGTTTCAACATGCGGAGTAAACAACGGCCCTCCTAAGCCTATGGCTGGATTAAATGGTGCTTCAATGATTCTCGTGTGTGGACGAGCTATACCGATGCTTTGTCTTTTGTTAATTAATAGTGGCTGGCAGTTACCGATGACGTTGTATATAGCTTCCTGTAATTCCGGTTGCACGTTTGGTACACACAACTGTAAGCAAGTTAACATAGTGGTTATAGTCTCGTTGGGAAGCTGCGCTGCTTTAGGTAATTGATCTTCTGGTTTCATGAGCATTTGAGGGCATCTTCTCTGTAGAAATTTAACCATCGCTGACACGAATATCTCGCCATGGTCTCTGATCTTGTCCGTCAACCACTTATCAAGTTTAAGGTACTCACGTCGTGATGCTAAACAAGCAAGGTCGATAACGAATGGAAAAGACTGTACATTTAATAATAATGACAGTGCCTTCAGATCTTGAGCAACATCTAATATTCTGGATAATTTTGACTGATCACATTCGCCACGTATGTACCAATCTGCCATAGAATGCATAATGATGGGCTTTATATTGGGATTTTGTGTATGCCAAGCATGATGTAATATAGTTCCAGAATTAGGATGATTGCCTAAGAAGACTGGTATGAGCATTGTCATGAGCTCTTGCCTAAAAGCAGTTATAGGTGGTGGTATTTGCAGTAAAGCAAGAAGTAAAATATCAGGACAGTGTTGTAATGGAAACTTGAGTAAATCATGGACTTGTATATAATATCCACGCTCAGCAGTGAATATAAGAAGTTCTACCAAACAAAGGCATCGCCAAGTAGCTATTTCCTTATTGTCCGTTTCGGGTGGAGACTTGAGAAGGTCAATTTGTACCGGATGAAAAGGATGATCAGCAAAACAGAAAATATCTGGATGTTTAATGATAGCGCTGATTAGACTCATTTGTCCCTCTAAGTTGACCCAACGACGACAGAGGTAGTCTACAGGAAATATATTTGAAGGATATCCTGCGCTCTGTAGGCCTAGACGTAAAATAGAGAACAATAAACCCAGTCCTTGTCTGTCAGGAACTAGAAATTCAGGATTATCTAGTTGTAGTATTACTTCCTTCCAATTCAAGTTAGAGGCGAGCTCCTTGAGAGTTTGCACGAATACATCAGGATTCCATGTCTCCCCATGATTGAGACACAAGGTCTCTTTTTTAGTATCATGGGTCATCCAATAATTGCCCGGTGTCTGTATTTGTGGGCCATCTTGGATTGTGGTGTGGTATCTAATCATTAAAGATATCATTCTGGCAACGTCCATAGCCGTTGGCTCACGTGCTCCAAAATTCAGCATGTTGTTCTTGCAGTCTTCCACTGAGGAAGTGAATGAATAGCCAATATCCCTGATGACCTCCGCTAGTGAGTTATCCATCATTGCTGCTGTCATGTCATCAGCTGTGGTCATTTCCTCCAAAGGAGACTGGGTATCATCCGGATACAGTAATGGAGCTAATACGATTGGAACTACTTCGCGGCGAAAGTCTACACGTAACCGTAATAAGAATAATTCTTTAGTCACAGTCGCTAGTGTTTGTTGAGCAAGATTAGTAAGTAGAGTTTGCAATACTTCAGGGCTGCATTCCTGAAGACCTGCACGCTCCACTTGATGCCCACGTTCTGCAAGATATAAATTAGACATTAATTAAGTATTCAGTTTAGACCAGTATTTCACAACATTTCCTACATCCCACAGGGTAGTAATTTCATTGTTAAGGAGGAAATTCGAAAATTGACTTTCCCTCTCTACTCGACGAGTTTAAACCTTTTACACATAAATGCAATGCTAGATTTTTATGCCAAAGACAACGTAAAAAGCAAATTCTTAAATAATTGTTTTAACAAATCATTTAATGATTATTTGCATTATTTAGTTTTTCTATTTATTCAGTATTTCAATATAATGTATATTTTTTGTATTGTATTATATTGCCAATTATTAATGCTGCTGCTTGTTGCATTTAAATTTATGGTTTCTGTTTCGATTTTGCATGTTAAATTTACTTACTGTGTTTCCTTAATTAAATTTTTAATGTTAAAAATTATGTATCATAATAATTTTAGAAAGGCTAAGTAAGGGCTATATTATTTTTGCCATGCAACACATGGAAAAAGAATAAAGGTTGGGTAACAGTAACACTACTCAGTGTTACTGTTACCCAACCTAAACGATACTAATAAGTGTTGGTCATTTATAACTCACCCGCGTCGAGGTAGCACTGCACGAGATCTAGAAATCTCTTTTTCAAGTGCTGTTTTGCCAATGATACTATTTCTGGCTTTGAAGAATGTCTTCTCAATATCAACGAGAAAGCCACATCTTCTGCAGTAGTTAATCTCAGTAATCTTGACAACCGATTAAGTAAAGTGTTTGTCGGTTTTAATATCTGAAAACATGATGATGTCTAAAATTTATAAAACTTAATAAAGAAATTGTTCAAAAGCGACAAGTAGGAACATATTGCCCATTACATTCGAGATAGAAACAAGTGTTGCTCCCTACAAATATATAATAAACATTGACATATTAAAAACTTTTAATTATTACCTACATCGGAATGAAGTCTGTTATGTCCGTGTGTTTATTGAATATCCATGAGCCAGCTGCAGTTAACAAATATATTTTACAAACATCTTACACATTTGCAATTTTATGAATATACACACATATTAATCTAAATATGTAAGTTGTTCTTAAGAACAATAGTTCTACATATTTACATTAATAAACAATTATTATTTAATATATGTTAATACATCTTAGTACATAATACACAAAGGAACACTTTAAAATGTCATATGTACTATAAATATTACAAAATATATAAAATAAAATAACTGCAAAACATGAGTCTGTATGCTGGGATAAAATTAAAATATAAAATTATATTAAATTAGGACAAACAGACAACACAATTCGCGTCACATTCGAATAATGGGCAACAAAAAATAACCTACCTGAATGCTACCTCTTGTTTCTACATAATAATAATAATAACAAAACTTCTACTATTTATATAAGGTATAGTTGGAAGTAAATTTCAAGAATTAAAATGTAAACAAAGAAATGCCGTTGTTGTATAAAATATGTTTTAAGCGAGTTCTAAGTTTTTTTTATAATAATTTATTGCAATATTGGCTAGTTCATGTATATTAAGCATACATGTTTTCATTATGATACAGTCAGTTTGATGTAATTTATATAATTTTTAATAGTTTAATGGTTAAATTTTATTAATATTATTAATATAAAATAGATATCTCAGGTATATATGTCCATGTATTCAAGTACAAGTTATGAATTACTTAAAAACTAAAGTACACAAAATGGAGCCCTATTTCTAATTATTCTTTAATAATGCTTCAACTTACCTAGTAATTGATATCTCAATAATCGTATTTAACGAAAAAAATTAACAAAATATTTAAAAGTACCTGTCATAATGTCAGTATCACGATACATTTTTTACGGTTTTTATTTAAGTATTATCAGTAACTATTTCATGATTTTTTTAAGTATAAAATACTGTTCTACATTTTTGAAATAGATGTACAAAGCGAGGAGTAGTACTATTCGTTAATAAAACTAATGGTTGACTTTAAGTCGTCCGTATCGCCTGCCTGTATATAGGATTTGGAGATAATTGGACACGTTCGCCTGCGACGTGAGGAAAAACGTAACTAAGGAAACTTAAGGCTTTCCTTAAGTTGTGCCGCGCCTCTTAACTACGCGCATGCGGAGGGATATCAGTCTTATTACTATAAACACGACGGCCTCGGTGGTGTAACGGTTTAGCACACCGCTTTCCGATGATCGTGGGTTTGATTCCTCACACGGTAGAAACATTTGTATTCAAGAGTACGATTGTTAGCTATCGGTCAGGGTACTTTTTATGTATGTATTTACAAAAAAAAGTCTAAATATTGATATCAGTTGTCTAGTATCCAGATGACCATGAATTGTAAAAAAAAAAATAGAGTTGGTAAGTAATAGTGGGTGGTAGTAGTAGTACAGTGATACGGGTAGTAGAATACATCTTATGAATGCACCCTATAAACAGACAGATGTATATTTTATCATTACATATAAAATAAAGTCGCTGTCGCTGTCTGTCCCTATGAATGTTTAAATCTTTAAAACTACGCAACGGATTTTGAAACGTTTTTTTTTTAAAGATAGTGAGTCTAGAGGAAGTTTTATATATATATAATACATGTACAACCCCGGGCGAAGCCGGGACGAGTAGCTAGTAATATTATAAATATTTCTTACTCTCACGCAAAAAGTACTGAACGGATTTTGATAAAAATTTAATATAGCGAAAATTTATCATACATCACACTAACACATATGCTATAAATTTCATGCCAGTGAAACAGCGGACACAGCTAGTACTAAATATAGTAAAAGGTAATGATATACCTAATATAAGTTAAATAGTAGTCAGTGTAAGGTGTATAGTGTAATTAATTTCTATTAGACAACTCGTCCAATTGCATCTATTCCAGGCGATTTTTTTATAATTACGATTTTCATTATTAATCGAGTGTAGCACAAACATCGAATCACTCCAGCATTGTTACTTCTAGTCGACGTTGCTTTTATATTATCAGTGAGGCAAAATGCTAACACAGCAGTCTGCATTACATTCGTGGAACAAAAACAACCTCTATAGATATAATAAAATTTTTGCTAACTATAAATGACGCACACATACTGCGTTTCAATGTATGCGGGCCAGTATCCAATTGCCGGTTGAATATTCATATCAGCACAATGACCATATTATATAAGTTTGCAACTAATACCGACCTAGTCTGATTACTGTAAATGCACTAAAATAATTTCTTATAATTATTCGAAGCGTTCATTATCTATTATAATGAAACAATAACCTATATTTTAATTAAATGATAATAATGCTAGAAATATCGTTATTTGTATAGTGATCTTACTGTAATATTACACAAATCGTAAAATATTGAATTTCCCTACATGATCATGCGTCTATACCTAAACTTTGGTAAAGGTTTAGAACATAACTGTTTATAATAACATTCGAAATATCGAAAGTTATTAATTAATTTATATATTTTTAACGATATATTAGTCATACATGTCTAAGTTTAAGTAAGTAAGTTTAAGAAAGAAACCTTACGTTTAATTCTTAAATTTGAAACTAAAAGCATCCGCGTATCTAGACAAAATAACATAAAACTTAATATACTACATGTTATAAAATGTATATGTAAAGCATTAAACAAAAATTTCCGATTTAACAAATTGACCTGCAATACTGATTTGTTGATTTGTCTGCAGCACTACACCCCTGAAGATGGGTGACTTTATTTGAAAATTTGTAGTGTCTGGGATATAACACATGTGTAAAAAAAGACCGACAAATCCACAACAAATCGCTATCGCCTTCCTAATCTCAAGATTATGGAACATTTCATTATTAAACATGCTACTTAATTACCTACATATCATGATTTAATATGCTACCAGTTAGTTTGTAGTCGGTAACGACAAAATAAAACTCATTAATTCGACATTACCAACAATATAATATTTACATCACTAGCATAGTCAAGAACCTATGCTTTAATATCTTTTTGTTTTTCTCAATATATCGTTAAAATATATAAAGAGGTTAGATTTATAACAAGTTACGTTAATTAATATATCCTTCAAATATCCTACAAAATTGAGATTGATTGAAATCAGAATCAATTAAAAAAGGAAAATGTATATTCACCCAGCCGCACGCGCAGTCGAGTTGACAGGGCGTCGCCGAACAAATGCAATGCAATTACTAATGGCTCGCTGTGATTAGTCGCGTAGCGACTTAGCGAGTAAAGGTTCGTACGGTATAGGCGTCAAAGACGTCGTGTTCCCCCCAATTAGAGTTGCCATGCGTCTGGATAAAGCCGGACATAGGTTTTTGATTGCCTCTCGGCTTGTCTGGCTTTTAATAGACTTTTTACATTATTTTTATTACATAACAAATAATTAATTATCATTATTGTTTAACTTAAAGAGAAGAAATTTTGTTGTGATTGGATTGTTATATTTTTGTCGTTCCTCTTTTTGAAGTAACAGCAGGCAAAGAAGACTTATTTGTGCAATTGGCTTTCATTAGAATTTAAATATGTTGAAATATTAATTACCTCAAATTTATTTTTAACAGAGAATTTATTTGATTGGTATACGATTTTATTTATTTTAATTGGCTGGTTAATAATTGGCATAGGATTTTATTTATATTTCATTAGCTTGGTATTTTCATTTACCAAGAGTTATGGTAATTTTAACAACAAAAATGAAATACTTTACATACAAAATTTTTGCTGTACCTATGAATACTGAAACAAAACTCTCAATAATGTAGGTTGTCCTGCCTTTTTACCCAAATGTTCGGCCAAACTGGCTGATCTGTCAGGCTTTTGCCATAATTTGTAGAAATTTTAACAAAAAGTTCAATTATACATACAATTTTTCTGAAAAATGTAGTGGATTGTCCGGGCTTTTTACCCAAATGTTCTACCAAACTGGCTGATCTGTCCAGCTGTTAGGCATGATTTATGGTAATTAAAAAAAGTTTGACTTTACATACCATTTTTGCCGTACCTATGAATATGACACATAATCCTCAATAATATAGACTGTCCGATGTTTTTACCCAAATGTTTGGCCAAACTAGTAGATCTTTTAGCGACCTGGTAACCCTACCCGCAATCAACAACAGCGACACCCGACCCCTTTAAGGATCATTTTCTGCACTATAGTGCAGAAAAATGACTATAGTCAATACTGAGTTTTACTTTTGCCCACCTAGCATTCAAGGAATAAAACACAAATGACTTTTTGTTAATTTAGAATTGTGTTGTTCCAGATAAGCAAATGCAATATCTGGCAACTTAAAAAGAGCAGGCAAATAACGTAGTTTAAAATAAAAAACGTGAAAGGTTTCCTCTGTTTTCAACCATCTTCAAAACAAGTAAGAAACACTCAACTGTACTGTTTTTTAATGTGTTACTACAGTACATTATTCTACGTGAACCAATTTTAATATATTTTTTTTCATTATAATAACGAAAAAGGATCTTTATTCAACCTTTTTTTATTATGAGAAATTTGATCGCACGATAGTAATTTCATATTACCTTTTTATTATCTAAATAACTGAACCGATTTCGATTTTTTGTCTGCTGTTACTAGTGTGATCCCATAAAGATAAAGATCTGATTTATTTGAATATGTAAAAAAATCGAATGACCATCGTGATTTAGGCATACTTTACTTGCGGACTCAAACCGTGAGGTCGTGAGTTTATATTTTCACAGAATGACTAAATTAATGTCATAATAACAAATCTTTATTTTAGTCTGCTTATTGTCTTCATGGTCAGATCAATGTAGCACTTGAACTCAGAACAATAAATACCAAATAGCAGTCAATTACAACATCCGACAAGCGCATCAACGTCGCCTTAGGCACGTTCTTATTAATCCCGACGACCCTATAACACACACACACACACACACACACACACACACACACACACACACACACACACACACACACACACACACACGACACCGTCCTCGCCGGCGAAAACCTCATCCACACCATACCGCGCAATCAACATGGCGCATGGCGCCTATGCGCGCTCGGGCGATCCACACCGGTGCCGATCCCCCGTCCAATTCAAGCAAGGTTCGAAATTACGACGGCCTGGGCTGAGGTTCGAACCCCTAGCGGTACCCTCAGACTAAAGACATCTCCATCAGGAGGAAGTAGGCCTTCAGCCACTCCATAAGTCCTTCCGCGGGTTTGGAGTGCCATCTGCACTCGCCCCCTATCGTCCGGTACTGGTGCCCCGCAAACGTAAACCGTTAGTGGAAGCAGGTGCACCATTTCATTATCATCCATCGGATGGTCTGGCCACGGTGAATCGTTTAAGAGACTGTTTTGTTTAAGGGTCCGTGTGGTCATTTACCTGTATGTAAAGGTCCTATAACTGATGGAAATCTGCAGGTGTGGCAGGATCAGTAGCTGGCGGTGCCACATGTGACCGAAGTACACATATTCTATGTTGATATATAGTAGTTATGGTGCTCTGGACACATGCCATGGAAGCAGTAGCCTAGAGGTGTCAGGTTGACGTAGGACTCATCATTTTCATTTATATCTACACCTCGTAACTGTCTAGATGTTTTAAATGTTCGCTAGCTGTTACCCGCGACTTCCTCCGCGTGAAAATTTGCTTTTTTTTTATTAAAGTATATGTGAAATCCCTAAAATAAAAGTAGGCTAATACATACACCTTATAACATTAGCATTCTGCGAGTGAAAATCTCGTCAAAATCGGTCAACCCTCTTTATATATTAACAAGAACAGACAAACAAACTGGCAGATTTTTTTTAAAACCTTTACCTACATTGTAGATTTTATTATTTTACATTAAAAAAACATATAAATATTTAACATGTATATTTTTATTAATATTTTTAAGGGCACATGTTTTTAGGGCATAGGGCATTTAACGGCTACAATGTTTAATATATGTACGTCTAGAACAATTTGCCTAAAATAATCTATTATTTTGGTATATCACCTCTTTGTTTACATTTTTGTTCTCGAGTTGAGCAGTCAGTCACTGGTACTGCACCAATGTGTACACCACATATTTGTTTACAACACTTAGCCATGCAACGATTTCGGCAAGTATATTTGAATACAATGTGTCAGGAGTGGAGCCTAACAGCACTTCTCATATTCATTTTGTTTGTTATTGACATTTCATCACTATAGAATGAGTCAGAAATACAAACTGCTGAATACAAATTTTTAATTTTTGGTATCGTTCAGATAAAAGACGCAGTCGTGTTTCAAATTATAAACATTTAAGACGCATACCTTTTGTAGAGCCCGAGAAGGATTGTCGACTGCGCGACACAGTACTGTAGATTTTGCTGGGTGGTTGAGCAGTGCCGCCAAATGCTGCGACAGAAGCGACGCGTGGAGGTTCGAGGTGATACTTGAGCTGGGCCGATCACTATCCCAAGATGCCTTCACCGCTTCAGTAAGCAAGCACCTCAGAAGATGGTTTTCTGCTTCCAGCCCATAAAGACTGACAAGCTGTTGGAAAATACGAAAATAAATTATTAACATAATCAGCAGTCACAATAATCGTAAAACATAAACTGAATTGCAATTATAAAATACTAGCTGTGCCTGCAGCGCGTGAAGAAATACTGACTTTGACCAAATAAAAAAGTTTCATCTTCAAAAATAACGAATTTACATTTATTACGAATTTCATCCCCTATTTTACTTTATTTAATCAGTTAACATTTTTACAAACTTTGAGTGTCATATTTATTTTTATAATAATAATTAATAATCAACAGCCTAAGTTTCAAGTTCCTAGTTTTGAATTTTTCCCTACAAACTTTCATCATCTCCCTTTCAACCCCTTAGAATTTCCACATTAAAACTACAGTACTGTCCTTTCTACAGTACAGTTCATTTTCGAGAGTTACTTTCGCATTTATATCAGTGAGGATTTCAAAAACTGAGACCGCATTGGTTGATGACTTCAAGAAATAGTTAACAGTGCCTCACTGGAATAGCCATAATTAAAAATATGAAATATTACATAAGGGAAAAGGTACGCAATATCCTCACTGTTAGACTGTAATCGATAGTCACAAAGACAGCGATTATTAGTTTTACAGAAGCGCCGTTTTGTTCTATTGCGTACTCGGTATTCCCAGTTTCACAGGGATTTTCCTGAGTCTTTCTTCTCAATGCAATTGTCTTTTTGTAAGTTAACATAATTGGAGAGGAAATAAATAACCTTCGACAATTAACACAGCACCATCTAGTTCCTAACAAAGCTTGTGATATGGGGATTAGAGAACAGATATGCTTAGATATTTTTTTTTAAAACATACATAATACACTTATGCTACATAGGCAGTGCCCTATTTGAAAAATGCTGAAGAGCAGAACTTGTACGCGCCGAGTACTGAACGAGGCCGTAATATTCGAATTTCAATATAGTAATTGGACAGTTTTAATTAGAATATTTTTAATTTCATATTAAATCTGTAAAACGCCGACTATATTATTGTGGCGACTGTGGTTTGCGTTACGAGATCTATGGCACATTAGTTCAAACATCGAACGGTGTCACACCTATTTTAATTACGAAGAATTTGTTTAATAAATTTAAGTTTAAAATCATTTAGCTTTCTTATGCCCACTGGATGCGACTACCGTAATTAATAGAAAACAAACAAAAATAATAGAGGATAAAATAAATAAAACAATATAACGCAAGGTTTGTGGTGATCAACATTGATTAACCTTGCCTTTACCTTGTGTACCATGTTTACACGATTAGATATATATTATGTGTGTGTCAATAGTTGACAAAGTTACCCCCCTCTGAGATACCAATAGTACATATATGTATTATTATATCGTACAGAAACAACTCCGATACTAATAAGGCGAAAGATTTGATTGAGCCATTGAAATGGCCGGAAATTACTGGACCGATTTGAAAATTCTTTTATCATTAGTCCTACTTTATGCCTAATGAACATTGATTATTTTCATAAATGTTAGAGATCCGTTTGAAAATTTCGATAATGTAACCCAAAGTGTGAAAAAAATATCAATAAAATATGGCCTACGCCGTGGAAAATATTTATTTATTCTTTATTGCACTTTTAAAAAATTGTACATATGGCGAGCTTAATGCCATATGGCATTCTCTACCAGCTAACCATTAGGTAACAACAGAAAGCGATTGATGGGCAGTAGCATAGTGATATTAATAATAGATTAAAATTATATACTACCGTTTTATAGAAGAAATCAGTACCTACAAAAGAAGTTCGCGATACAATGTTATAGTTACGTCACAATAAGTTTCTTTTCATGTTATAATATACAATAATAACGCCAATTCAAACTAGGCCAATTATTCGTACCTTTATCATTTTAGATTTTTTTATGAAATACAAAGACAATGACATACATGCAATCACACGGTAAAGAATGAACACTAAAAATAGGTAAAAAAACAATGACGTTTGCGCGCGCGGTGGCTTTCCCGTGCTAAATCGAGCGCGCTTTTGATCGCTGAAAGAACGTGTCGCGTAAAGGCAAAACTAATTACTCCAACTACCCCGTTTAAAACAGTCGTAACCGTATGTTATGTAATATTTTATTACGAAGACGTTGTACTAAGTCCTCTGCGTTAGTTATCTATTTCTTACCGCCAAGTTGCTTTCTCCGAAAGCCATGTTTCAGTGGTACGATAAGATATGAAATTGGGATAAAGTGAAATAGAAAAACGAGGCATAACACCTTATTTCTTCAATTGGCAATTCATGTGGGGTACTACGTACCGTGGTCGTCAAATCACAATTGTCGTTCTAGTATTGTAATAAAAATTGTATGTTTCATACAGTCATATCTCTTCGTACGTTGATTGCATTACAAAAAAACACGTATAACTTGAAACTAAGATTAGATTCGTACATATTCCTTTACCATAATAGGTATCTATCTATATATACTAAAATTATCGTCAATTTGTACAATAAAAATTCTTATAATCAAGTGTTTCAATGGACCTTGTAAGAATGAGTTAAAAACACGTTTGTCATTAGTATATGCAATGGATAACGTATGTAGTCTGCGCGCACCTATGTAATAGTTCATATCTTACAAATTTTCATGATTACAATTAATAATATATAGTTAATCGTAAAGAGATTAGAATCCAAAGACCAGGCAGAATACTCATATAAACCATTTTATTTTTAGTGAAAAGGAAGAGACGGGAAGGTGTTCTTAGCATTGTGGACTTATGACCCGATTGTGCCATGTACGATTAATCTCCACGCAATCTCCCTGCTAACTATCGTGATAAGTTCCTAGTGAAATTATCGCGATAAACTATCTGACCTGACCTCATATATCATCTTCCATTGGTGTCCCGCCAGCTTAAACCGTTAGCGACGGTGACGCACCATTCCATTATCATTCATTAAAAAGATCCTACAAATTGGCTATAACTCCTTGTACAAAAATAACCTAGCAGGTTTGCCTTGTTTGCAATTAATGTTCTGGTCGTATTTTATAATCACATTCTCGTGTATATATATATTGTTTAACTAGACCGCTTGCAGCTTATTTAATAAGTGCAAATGAAGAATTATAGCAATAGCGCTGTTACTAACAAACGCATTAAATGTTGTCTGGACTTTCACATTATGTTAATTATAACTAAGCTTACCAGTGCCTTGTTTGCTTTTTCTAGATAAAATATTAAGTCTCTCCTTGCGATACAATTTATTTTCATCTCAAATTTGCTTAAGATCAGTTCAGCCGTTTAGTCGTGAAAGGTAACAAGTATATAAACAGACAAACATCATTTATAATATTAGTATATATTATAAACTAATGTTTTAAAGAGAAAAGTTTGGTGTGTTGATAAAATATAGTATTTTATGAATTATTCCATGATAGAAAATTACATTAGTGAGCAATATAGGTTATTCTGTTTATTAGAGATATGTACTAAAAATGGTGGACTGTTTTGAGTGGTATTTTGTGTTGTTTAAACTAATGCTATAAATACAAGTCAGTTTGTTGGACTACATAGTCCAACAAACTTTAAACAATTCTTTATATTTAATTTAACTCATATGTCATCTCATAACTTATACTTACAATATTCTCTTTATCTCGTTAAATAAGTTATAAGCAGAAGCAGGATATTATATTTTTGTTAGCAATTTCGATAAAGACATACAAAGGTTATTTATTAATTATAATAGATTGTGAAGAGTAGATGATATAATTATGCAAATGCATATCATTGCAATGGTACATGATACAGATAATACCAATTAAATGTGGACTAGTGCCAACTGGCGTTTAAAACATAAGATAATGACACGTAAATATGATACAATGTCAGGAGCACGATAATAAATTTTCCAACACAAACAATATTATAACGTTTAAAATTATTTTTTTAGATTAGCTGAAGAACCTACTATGTATTAGATAGGAGATATTAGAATTCTAATATTAATACTTTTGTAGGAAACTTATATTAAAAATTAAACATATAACCATCGACAACAAATATTTGAAATTAATATTATTTCCTTATACAAAACACTAGCTGTTTTTAGATAAAAGATCTTACGTCTTCGTTATACAATGTATCTATCTATCTATATTAATAAATCCGTCAAGGGGTACGGTAGACTCGAACGAAACCTTATGTGAATAACAAAACATAAAAAAATATTTATTTCGAGTCGACAACATATATCCGCAAAATTCGGATTATGGAGTATTTCGTTAAATTCTAATAACACTGACAAACAAACTGCTGTCGCCATCTTTCATGTCACTAGCTAACAACCAATCAACACTATGCGTGCGTTCGCGCCAAAGATCCATCACAAAGAACTGTGACATATGACATGTGGCGTTGACGTTTCGCGAAAATATAGTTTTTGACAATTTTTTATAACAAAAGAGTTATAGTGTATACAGTTATGTGTTTTTTCTTTAAATTGGCCTATTGCGAGACAAATTTGACAATATTTTTTTATTAATTTGTTTCACGGCTCTGAATACAAGTCCTTTTTAGCCCAACTTAAAGTTTTACAATATAAATTACAAAAATGAAAGTCAATGTCCAATGTCAAGTAATAATAAATGTCAAATGTTATTTCTCTGTTCTGATGAACTTATTAAAAAAAATCACAATTTCTTCACATTTTATTATTACACACATAATGCCAGGTATTTGCATTTTTTAAATAAGGTTGTGGCACTATTGGAAATTAATGTTATTTACCCATTTTTATAGGTTATACGGAAATAATGTGTGGGTGTTTATTTAAAAAGCATTAACACCAAATTAATAAAGTATAGTATTAATAAATATATGGTTGTTGTATGAAAATAGATTTTGTTATTTTTCACTAAAATAAAGACTAACTGCATTTTTTATAAAACAAATGACCTTTTCATAGTGTCATATATTATTTAACTGATTGTAAGAAAAAAATGTTGGTTTGTAGATTTATACTGTA